AATTTTTAACCAATGAGATTTTATGGACTTTTTAAGTAGCCAATCAAAAAGCGAGAAAAGCTATTGACAATGTTCGCGTCATTTTGAGTAAAATTCACCCATCTTTGTTTACGGCAAGTTTATGGCGTCTTTTCCCTTCATTTATTCCCAGCATTTGACCATTCTGGGGTCTTGTTATTGTAAAAAAACAAATTGACGTCAGTTTTTTATGCGTCTGTTCTCTTCTTGATGACAAATGTCGTTATAACATTGTCAACGTTTACTGCGGAACCACTCGCCTGCGGCTCGAAGTTCTACAGCCACTTTGACAGTGTTATAACGCAATTTATCATCAATAAGAGGACAGACGTCAATTTGTTAAGTCCAGGGGTGGGGGCAGAAGACTCCTGAAACTTTTGTACTGGACAAGTCGAATGGCACTCACTCACTCGATTCTGATTAAAAGGTTTTTGACGAGGGGAGACTAGAAAGGCGTAAATTTTTGCCCGAAAAATCGAGAGCCTGAGTACTAGTTTGTTGAGAGCATCAAAGATTGAAGTCGGCCATTTTGTTTTCAAGTGTTTTCTTTCGTAAATATGTTGGTTTTTGATTATCAACTTTTGCTCACACATGGATGAAAGCTGGTAGAGGTATTTATGACTGTGGTGAAGTATCGGTCACAACAGCACGGCCGGCGAGGTGAAAGAATTGATACAAGAAAGCCAGAAGTGGGATCGTGTTAACTTAGCACATGGGGGAAATTTAAAAGCTCGTAGCTTTTTCTCTTGGCAAGAGAATTCGATGGCTTCCACTCGCTTTCTGTCCTTGTGGAGTCCTAGGTAAGCTTAAGTTCTTGTTAAGTTTTGGTTTCATTGTTTCGTTATGGTTTTATTTTGTATACACACGTTGAAATTCTGCCTGTGTTATTAGTATCCGACGGAATTTCAAAATTTGTAAGCTCATTTTAAAATACTTCAAGTAAGAAATTCGAATTGCCTTACGTTTTAGTTTTGTTGTCGTTCACACTTCATTTCTTTTGTATTCCATGCAGTTTGACCAGTATGCAAGTCAACCTACATGTACGATCGAGTAAATATACTCCTAAATATTCTAGTGATCATGGATGGACAAATTAAGTCCAAGAGACCGTGTAGATCTACTTTTTGCGAGAGAGATATGCTGTCCAATTGTGACCAACATAAACTGGATGCATGGTGGCTGGTGATGTAGAGTTTTTTTTTACTTCTAGAAATGAGAGATTTAAACAAATTTAAATCAAAACTTGAAATAGTTATGGAGAAGAGAATGTTTGATACTTGTCAACATAAGTATGTTCTGTAATCATTGCAAAAATCTATTAGAAGAGGCGTATCTGCAATCTTTTGAATATTACTGCATTGCAAGTGAGATTAGCACAAACAGTTACTAAGATACATAGTAATAAAGTACTATGATTTGTGTTTCCAAGAGACAAAATTGTTATTTTACTTGCATACACTACAATATGTGGTACCCTTATTATTGATTGCACCAAGCTGGGGGGCTTTTCTTTATAGTTGACTAAAGGTGCCCTTTTTTCAGGCTGGAGGTATTACAAGACTTAACAGGACAGGGATTTCAAACATTAATTGATTGTTTATCCAAGAAATAAAATGTAGTTGAGCCACATTAGGGTTGTAAAAGGGGGTTCAAGCTAGAAGCTACATGTATGTGAAAGGGAAGCCTTTCCTGTCAAAAACACTATGTAAACTGGATAGGGTATTGACCTTGGGGCAGAGCCTCCTTGTATAAAAGTTTGATACTTCCTTTCCCCCTCCCTGTGAACATAGTTATATAGTAAAAAAATCTTATAAATTGTAAATAAAAAGATACCTTTCACTTTGGGTTCAAGATTGAAACAAAACTGTCTGAAATTCTTAGAATATTGAAGGAAATACTTTTCTTTCCATATATTTCCCATTTACCAGCAAGCTAAAATCAAATTGTTTATATTTGACATCGCTTAAAGGAAACTAGATTTTGCCAATATCCATCTCTCACTTAAGTGAAATTCTGGCAAAATACTTTTTACAGTCTTGGCATTCTCAAGTTGATTGTCTAAAACAGATGTTAAAATCATGTATTATAATTTTTGCATAATTGTTATACTCAGCTGTTTCATAATGTTAACTGAACAGGGACCATAACCAGTTTACCTTGACCCAAAATGCACTGCTGACTCCCTAATATTATACATTTATTATAACCAACTTCAGTGACTAGGTGTCAATTTTGGACTGACTGTTGAACATGGTGAAATCTCATTTAACTAATGATTTCATTTTGAAACAGACAGTTGTTATTCGTTGACACTACATCATGTACAAGTTGATTTAATAACAATGTTCCAGTTCAATCAAAATTAGTTATTATCCCTTTTAAAAGTTATAAGCAGTCTGTGTAAACAACCTGTTATTTGATTTTTGTATTTATTTTCTATTTCGAGCCGTCTGGGTTTGAGCCCAGGGAACATTGTATTGTGTCCTTGGGCGAGACACTTAAGAGTCCCTGTCCATAAAAATGGAAAATAACTCGGCAAGGGTCAAAAATTCGATTTCGCTCATATTTTCATGGTAGATAGGCTAGGGCATGA